GCCTCCCTCGGTCGCGCAATATTTTCAAATCGAAATTCAAATATTTCGAGTTTGCTTTAGTTTAAACGTACGTGCTGAAGCCAAACGGTATCCGTAATGTCTTTTATAACGCGAGGTAAACTCATAGGTTTCCTCCTTACTCTCATTCTCGTCATCTTGTTCATGTACACGTCGAACAACACGGGGATTGGAGGGAGACAGACAAATTACAGAAAAGGTAAGGACTGTTGAAGTTTTGATAACTTAATTGGTAGGACATGTTTCGATTATGGTAGAAGACTTTCCCTATACATGGAATACAAAGCACTTATGGAAGTTAATCCCGCGTTGTGTTTAACCAGCTGTTTCCGTAACATGTCTAAGATTTTACGAAGGTAGAGAGTTGCAATGTTCGAGTGTGGCCTCCAGAATTTTTCGCAAGATGTTTTCAACATGCTAGCCAATATTTAAAGATTTCTTAGCGACTATCATTTGACTATGCTATCGCATCGTCTTTTAAAAATCATAGCTCTCGCAAAAGTTATCGTTAAACTTCACGGGTCTGGCAGTTTCGTTTTGTTAGCGGTTATATGCGCGTCTCGTGGTCTCGATTTTTTCACAAAGCTTTCTCGGGTCTCGATTGCTTGCCAACTGCTAAGAAAGGTAAACTAGTAATACAATCTCAGATAGTGCATAGTGCAATTTACGGCTCTGACACAGTAGTCACACAGGTCCTCACCTATGCCGTTCTCTCCTTGGGTAGTCAACTAAGCCTTTCCCTTTTGCAGAATATGAGCAGACAAAAGGTGATAAGAGATAATCTTAGCAGTGTGTATGTTCCATGTTTGTATATTCGTTCAAGGCCCCAAAATAACTTACAATAATCACCGTTAGTCAAGACGGTTTTAAATTTTATTGTGGTATTTTACGTTGAGTTTCGTTCATTTTAAATTCAATCAATACGTAGAAGTAGCAAATGTGACAATTTTACTTATCACGYCACCGTTTGTAACTTGATACATTTGTTTTCCTCGYCAATATCAAYGTATGCAACAAGATAGTTTTGTTCCCTCGAAAATATAAGAAACGTCTATTTTTGTTTTTACTCACTGCTGGAGATAAATGGAATATAAAAGTTAAATATCTGCTGAAAAGTCGAAAAGGAACGATTTTGTTTAATTCAAAACGCATATTTTCATTTCAACGATAAACAAGAACTAATCTAATTGTCAAATAATCACGTCGAATCACGGAATAGTGCGTTCATATTCTTTTGCCAGCTTTGGCGTTAACAATAAAACCAAGTCAAACTAATACACAATGCTATCGAGTAATACAACTGAGGAACGCTTCAACGAGAAGTATTGAAGTTAGAAATCGTCACTTGACCGAAATTATATCCCACATCGGTGACCTAGTCACCTCATAGACTGATGAAATTAATTGGCAGTTTCATTAAGCGCCACGGAATCTGCGGCGATAACAACGAGGTTTCTTTTGTCACAAATTTACTAGTTTTACAAGTAACTAACGCGGGAAAGTTTCGGCTGAATATGAACTTTTGGCTCTCTTTCATAGAAGAAGAAACAAACAAGCTGCTAAGGAGAAGTAATATGTTTCCATTCTTTATTTGAACCCTGGCAAGCACACAATAGCTATAAAACGGCAGACGACATTTCTTGAATCGAGCTAGGGAAGATTCTAGACGATACGCAGTTAGAGTAGTGTTCTTTGCACTAAAAAAAGGAGAACTGACGTTACCTGAAAGATTGCAGCTATCCCGGCGAAACGTGGATCTGAACTCGAGAAAGGAGTTTATCAAACTAGCAATGCTAGAACGCATGCGTCTTATATGTTGTGGTCTACCACAAGGAAAAGCATTCAACGTTCGTGTGTAGTCCCGTATGAAATGTATCTTTCACCTAACATATAGTCGACTCTGACGCTAACTAATCTGCGCATGCGTTTCGATCAAATCCCTTTTGTTCTTAAAAGAATAGCACCATAAGGATAGCAAGAGATTTGCAAAAACATATATTTACAATGTTATGTTTTTGCATATTGTAAAAAGCATTTGAATTTTATGTATTTACATTTTAACTAGTTTCTATTTTCTTTTGTTTACTTGTTTATTAAGTAATGAATATTTATGTTATTTTAATAGTGGGCTTCCTATGAGGTAACTTTTTAGCTAAGTAGAGTTGTCACTACAAATAAAGAATTACCATTACCAAGTCTCGGCTTCAAGACATAAAAAGTCGAAATACCTTGGATCCGCGGCGAAATATGCTGGTGTAGCCTTCTCGCATAGTCTCGCAGTTGCTCATATATGAAACCTCTCATGTGATATTGAGTTCTTTGGTGTTAGTTTCATCTTAAGTTTACACACCGTTTTATGGCTATTAATTATTTGAACTCTTTTATTTTAGATGCTAAAGCCGTTAGTCGAGAGATAACACCAACCCAGGTTAATGTCAGTGAAGAAGCGAATGCCACAGTGAGAACGACAGTGGTGGAATTCACCAAGACATTCATTTATCTTACCCAGACCGAGCAATGCCTTCCTCAAAACCTAGCTAGTTCTTCTGAGATTGGCAATCCCGATACATGCAACTGCGACGTTATAGTGTTAAGTTTTCAAAACAAGTGTCAGGATCAAAATTCATCACACATCACCTATTTGTTTGATCCGAACACTGGATGGGGGACAGGACGAAATGTTCTTTACTTTGCTGCAATAAACAGAACCCCAGGGTACCATTATTATACATTTGTAGACGAAGATGTAATTCTTACTTTTAACGAATTTACTCCTCCAAAGATGGAGAAACATAAGCCG